AAAAAATCCATATGAGACCGATGGGTTGAGGTTACCAAATATAAATTGTGTGCTAATTGTCTTCGCCAAGGGCACCTGTAAATAACTGCCGGTTAGGACCTTGTCGCGAATGCAAAAAAAAAAGACATAATAGTCTCCTTCACAACAATACTACTTCAGTTGGTTCTAATTGTGCTGACCAATCTGAAACTATTGTTAATTTTTCAAAACAAAATAATACCACTATATTATTGGGTACAGCAGTTATCGAAATATGCAATCCTAATACTGGTATGACACAAAAGGCACGTGCTTTACTGGACTGTGGTAGTGAGTCCTCATTTATTACAAAAACATTAAAGGACCAACTCTCATTAGATTCTAATCCTATAGACGCGCTAAATGTTATTGGTATCGGTAATGTCTGCAATGATAAAGTAAGGGAAACCTGTATTACACAAATAACATCTCTAAATAGTCAATTTACTGCTAAACTGTCGTGTTTGGTAATGAATAAATTAACAAGTGATCTTCCAAAGATCCCTATAGATGTACATAAATTTGACATTCCTCAAGACATCAATTTAGCAGATCCTACTTTTAATCAACCTGGTACAGTTGATATTTTGATAGGATCTGATTTGTTTTGGGAGATCTTGGGAAACGAAAAACGTTCTCTAGGTCCAAATAAACCTATATTAATAAAGTCTAAACTTGGCTGGTTGATAGCTGGCCCTACGCATTCTATACATAATTCATACAATAAATATACTAATTGTCATCATTCAGTATCGCATGTTGAAGTAGAATCTAATATTGATAGCATGCTCAAAATATTTTGGGAAATTGAAGAACTTCCTAAGAAAACAGTGATGAGTAAGAACGACAAAATTTGTGAACAGCACTTCATAGACAATACAGTTCGCCTAAATACTGGCAGGTTTTGTATTAAACTACCTCTAACAGATTCCACAGACTGCCTTGGAGATACCTTTTATTTAGCAAGAAAACGTTTTCTTTGTCTTGAAAGAAGGTTTAAAAGGCAGCCTAAACTAAAACTGGAGTATTCCAACTTTATTAAAGAGTATGCGAAATTAGGTCATCTCTCGGAGTGTCCTATACTAAAACCAAATCCAGCTTACTTTTTATGTCATCACGCTGTATTTAAAAACAGTAGTGAATCTACCAAGCTTCGAGTAGTGTTTGATGGGTCCGCTCCCTCTTCCTCGGGGTATTCTTTAAATGACATTCTGATGGTGGGTCCTAATGTACAGGACTCCCTCTTCTCCATTTTGGTAAGAGCAAGACAATACAAATACCTCTTAACTGGTGACATTGAGAAAATGTATCGCCAGGTTCAAGTGAAATCGGAGGATAGAAACTTGCAACTTATTCTGTGGAGAGAAGATGAGTCCCAGCCCATCAGAACATTACAATTAAATACTCTCACTTACGGTACGGCAAGTGCGAGCTATTTGAGCACAAGATGTATCAAAAAATTAGGGGAAGAGCAGGAAGAGGAATTAATTAGTAGTATTATTCAAAGAGATTTTTACATTGATGACCTTGTCACTGGATCTAATGATGCAGTTGAATTACGATATATACAAAATAGAGTTTCAGAGATATTACTATCCGGTTGTTTTAATTTAAGAAAATATAGAAGTAATTTGGAAAATCTGTTTGAAAATTCAAATATAGATACGCAACAAAATTTAACTATTAGTGAGTCTTCGAACACTCTCGGGCTTGGTTGGGACCCATCGAATGATTGTTTGCATTTCCCGATAAATTTTCACCTAGAATACGAAACAGTTACAAAACGAGTAATAATGTCAAATTCATTTAAATTATTTGATCCCTTAGGTATCTTAAGTCCATGTATAATCAAGCCTAAAATGATGTTACAAAAACTATGGTTACAAAAGATAGACTGGGATGAACCAGTCCCATATGATATTAGGGAACAGTGGATAAACTTTATCAAAAATATGCCTTGCCTTCTAAAATTACAGATTCCACGGTGGGTTATTTGCGACTCACCTGTATGTGTGGAGCTGCATTCATTCAGCGACGCTTCTCAAAGTGCTTACGGTGCATGTGTGTATGTGAGGTCAATAGACGCAAACAATGACATTACCGTAAGGTTACTTTGTGCCAAATCCAAGGTAGCTCCAGTTAAACCCATGACAATACCTCGTTTGGAGCTTTCTGCTGCACTTCTTGCTGCCAGATTATGTAGGGATATTGAGACGTCCATAAGGTACACACCAGATCGCATAATTCATTGGTGCGATTCTAGCGTAGTATTGTCATGGATCAATAATGACGTCACGAAACTAAAATCATTCGTAGCTAATCGCATTAGTGAGATTGTCGAACTCACTCATTCTTCAGCATGGCGATATGTCCCTACTACAGCTAACCCAGCAGATTTAATATCCAGGGGCTTGGATGGTAATCAAATTATTATGTCAAATTTATGGTGGACGGGACCTTCATTTTTATTTCAGAATGAGGCTGAGTGGCCAATATTAAAATCTTGTACTGAACCCTACGAAACACTACCCGAAATTAACACAAATATAGCAATGCTTCCGAATCCAATAATTCAAATCAACCGTTATTCTAATTTAACCAAGCTACAAAGAATTTTAGCATACGTAATGAGGTTTATATATAATTTAAAAAACAATAAAAATCAACGTTCAGGAAAATTAACTATAAATGAATTAAATGAAGCTTTTATAATACTCTGTGGCATTGCTCAACAAGAAATATATCCAATAGAATTAAATATACTATCAAATAATAAGATGTTAAGTTCTAAGTCGAAAATATTGCAGTTGTCTCCTTTTCTAGATGATCACAAATTAATCAGGGTTGGAGGACGAATACATGCGTCTAATTGTACATATGAACAGAAGCATCCTATACTTTTACATGCATCTCACCATTTAACCAAGCTCATTTTCGAAAGAGAACACATAAGTCATATGCATGCAGGCCCACAGTTATTATTAGCCGTAGTGAGAGAAATTGTGTGGCCTGTCAATGGAAGGCACCTAGCTAGGCGTGTTGTTAACAACTGTGTACGCTGTAGGCGTCTTCGTGGCAAAACACTTTGCCCTAAAATGGGTAATTTACCTTCCCAACGTATAACTCCCGACTTCCCATTTTTATCAGTTGGCTTGGACTTCGCTGGTCCTTTTCATATACTAAATAGAAAGGGACGTGGCAGTAGATTGATTAAAGCATACTTGTGTCTGTTTGTATGCTTGCGATACAAATGTATTCATTTAGAAGCGGTAAACGATTTGTCAAAGGAGTCTTTTATTATGACTCTCAAACGATTTGTCGCGCGCCGCGGTAAACCATTAGAGATATTTTGCGACAATGGTCGTAATTTTGTAGCCGCAGCAAAAGAATTAGGAGAATTTCTAAAATCAAACATTGACAGCGTATCTGACTTTGCAAATCATGAAGGCTTTAAGTTCATATTTACTCCTACTTACGCTCCTCACTTTGGGGGTATTTGGGAGGCAGGCGTAAAGAGCGCAAAGGGGTATTTAAAAAGAGTCATAGGGAATAGTCATTTGACATTCGAGGAAATTTCTACATTATTTTCGCAAGTGGAGGCTGTACTTAATAGTCGTCCTTTATGCCCTTTGTCGTCCCCCCTAATGATCTACTTCCATTGTCTCCTGGTCACTTCCTAATTGGCAGACCCTTGACTGCGCTGCCTTCACCATCATTACTAAATTGTAACGAAAATCAACTGAAACGCTATGCCCGCCTTGAGAAAATTCGTCAACATTTCTGGAATCGCTGGCAAAGAGAATATATATCAGAACTACAGCAAAGGACTAAATGGCGATCTAACACAGCTCAATTGAATATTGGTGATATGGTTCTCCTACAGGAAGACAACGTGCCTCCTTTAAACTGGCGTCTAGGTCGAGTAGCTCGTTTGTATCCTGGACCAGATGGCATTTCCAGAGTTGCTGACATCAATACCATAAAGGGATGTGTACGCAGACCCTTGGTCCGTATCTGTCCGTTGCCAACTATTGAAGAACTTCAACGTTGAAATTCCTTTCAACGGGCGGGAAGATGTTCAGGCCTAAAGCGCCTGATATATTTTAATAGCACCAAGAAGATGCATTATATAGTCGCGCACTTGTTTTTTGTATACCTGCATAATTTTTATTTTTTTTTCTTATATAGACGTTCGTCGATTATTGAGTTCTCTTCTTTTGTACTTACCTAATTTGTAAAACGTTGTCGAAATTAAAATACTTAAATATATAAATCTGAGTTTGATTAGAAGCTCCATTATGTTATACAAGACATATAGTTACATAATACCTACCTCTTGTATACCTACGTTTTGTAGCATATGACGTATATAACTAATTACAAAGACATTTTGGTCCAAGAAATATATATTTTTTATGGAACTGGTATGGTAATCAATAAAAAATATACTATTATAATAATATCCAAGGTCAATAGATTAAAAATAATCATCAAAACCCGTTCTATTTTGACAAAAATATACCGTAACATAGAGACGAAAAAAGAATAGAAATTTTCGTTGAATTTAGAAGTTCTCTTTCGCAGTAAGTTGACTATTGATAAACCTTCAAGTTAGATATTTTTCACAAATCATATTTTAAGTTCAATAATATCCAAGAAAGATACAATCACTTCAAAATATTTAATACTGTATTATAACTTTTATATTTTACATTTATTTCATTTACTAAAGATATAAATTCTGAATAAATTCGGAGAATCAGAAATGTTTAGTTACTTCAAAAGACTTTTACTTTGAATAAATATGCGTCTATATCGTTCAAGTCAACAAGATGATTAATAAGTAAATATAATAATATGTATAATAGTGAATTATACATATTATTGATATTTTAAGTTTTAAATGTTATGATGACTTTCGCCATCTATGGACCCTGATTAACATCTATCTATCTACACTAATCTTTGATAAGAAATCCAGATTTATTCTTAAAAACAGATTAATTGAATTGAAGTCCAAGTAACATATAATTGCTTCCATTATTAACGATTCTATTATGGAGAGAAGAGATTTCTAGGTCGCAATAGAAACCAAATATAAACGAAATAGCAATGACCGATGCCACAGTTTCTAAAAAGCAAACCTCAAAACTGTACTGAGTGAAATAATTACGTGTTTGTTACCTAGAAACATCGGGCTTTACATTTTGTACTAATCAGTGTAATACACGACTTCATTACATAGATATAGCAACATATGAAGTTTTAGTGAACTCGTGTCGTGTATTAATAATTTGACATGATATGAAATTATCACTGATCACTAGTTAAGTTACAAATTTGTTAAAGAAAACGAAATTAGGTTACCAATGTAAATGGCCCACTGTCCCCATTCTCTTAATTAGCAAAAACTCGACCCGATGAAACTTGGATACCAATCTTTGTCACTTCGTCAGAGTAGGCGGTACTCAACTAATGTCTGTTCACTTCATTCACCCTCGTCCGATTTTAAGGATATTGACCACTACTACGTGTTTGGAAAATAAAGCAAAATGTGTTAAAGAAACAAATCCCACTAGCCCATTCAGGACACCGCGCCTGTCTTTATCGGCCTGGGTGAAAAGAACACACAATTTGTATTTCAAGTACATACTTACTTACGTAGATAAAAGGATAGCTACATATATATAAATAACTAAAAATACATTACTGTACAACTTCTCCTGGGTCATTTAAAGTTTCCGGAGTGACTAACAATGTAAATATTTAACGTCCAAACATCTATAGGTATGGTATATACATAATTGTGCACAATTGTAAGCATATCAAAAGACACAAATACCTCTCGCTATTACAATAAAATTAACTTTACCGCCCGTAAATTATATCTAATGCTCCCAATATCTGATAAACCTTATCAAGGATGGGGCGCCTATCAAAGCGACATAACTATGTAAAAAAGCATATCAAAATGACAGTGGATCCTATTCCAAAATCCGATTAAGATAGGCTATATAAAAATAAACGGTAAAAAGAGATAGCTATCGGTTTTGGTTATATTGTTCAGAGATTAGAAGAGATATTAACTAACCATTACAATAAATCCTAATCTCCTACTTAGTACAGCCTATTATCAAAAGATCAATCATAATGGAATGTTTTTTTATTCACGGGATATCTTCAGTTACGTTGAAGATATAAGCTTGATTTTCACTCGATGAACTTAATATTCGTGTTTGTCCTGTATGTAATCGAAATATTTTTTTCTTTTAAAATGGAGCCTTAAATTTTATCGATATTAATTATAATTGACAGCTTCGGAGACCTAGCAGTTTAGCACATTACCTTACTTCTGATAGTTGTGAATTCGATTCCTCGCACGATGTATTTTTATTTATGACTATTATTGTTTGTATTGGTCTAGGAGTTTTCTATGAATAATATACATGTATGTAGAAAAAAATTAAGTTGTCTATTACCCATGACACAAATTTTGCTTAGAATATATGGCACTTTGTGAATAGTCCAGGGTTATTATTATTGCTATTATCTTAGAAATAAATACAACGGATGTTTACAGTTTCGACGCGCGAATAGAGACTGAATGGTCGAATGAAGTCTTCAACACGAGTGGAAGATTAAAAGCAGACGTAGTGAGCCAGCCCACAGCCCTCACAATATCGACCTTGACCCAGGACGACCAAGCTTTATATCACTGCCGTGTCGACTTCCTTATTTCGCAGACCAGGAACATTGGCGTCAATTTAACTGTCACAGGTAATATATTTATTTGTTATCTTCTGTTTTTACTTACGACTTCGTTCAAGTGACTTCAAATGAATAAATCAACTTGTTAAATAATTTTAATGATAATAGAACCACAATAACGGCCATACACGTTCGCTGCCGCTACCGCGTTCACATTACTCTCCGCGCACTTTTAGTGTTTGATAGCCCATTTATCGAGGAAGGCTATACGGACTATAGGCACAGAGGCTGCAATGAAAAATGTTGTAAAAACGGGGAAATATAACGCAAACGAAGTGTCGCGGGTCAGCTAGTTGTACATAATGGACATTAAATATAAACCTGTCCGAAGTAATTCTTCATGTAGCATTTTAATTATCCCGGATTAACTTTATCCCAGATCCATACCATTGTTCTAAAAAAGAGGGCTACAAACCCTTAAACAACCTGTCTTGTTTAATCCATAAGATAACTTAATCTTATTATCACGTATTAACTTCGTAAAGCACCTGACCATCTTTCAATGACATACATATAGTATATTACTTATTATATTAAGTAGGTAGGGTAGTACTTGAGAGACCCACTGGTTTCAAAGAGTTCAGATGTGGAAATATCTCTTAGTGCGAAGGAAGCACCGATATTAAACCAAAAATTAATAGGATATTTCATGTTTAACTATTTTATATGTAAACCGATGATATTTTATTTCCTAAAAGAAAAGTTTTTTTTACTTATATTTTAATGGCCTCGCTGGTGTAGCGGTTTCGCTCATCGACTGCCAATAGTTGCGGGTTCAGTTTCCCGCCCAGTACTAATATTTCTAATTTATGAGTACGATTATTTGTATTGTTCTTGGTATTTTCTATGTCCATATATTATGTATGGATTTACAAAAAAAGAAGTAAAGTATTTCTTTCAATTGTCTAGTATCCTTAACTCGAGCTCTGCTTAACTTGAGACTAGGGTGTTGTGTGAATAATCCTAGTTTATTATTATTATTATTCCAATAGTTTCTAGTAAGAATAAACATACGTATTAACATCAATATAATATTCTTTAATATCACTGTGATCATATTGCAATCCCAGATTGCAATTCAATTCGGTTTAATACCTCAGAAACTTTAGATAGGTACTATCATATTAGGTATGTATTTTATCCCATATCGTGTACTCCCCTACTTTGAAATGTTGTTTCTCTTGTTCTACTTTCATATACAGTCTCGTCTAACACAGGCTTTATTTTGTTTCGTTTCATATTTCCGCGAATGTAAGCATTTGTACAAATCCTAAAATCAGTTACACACAAAAGACATTACGTCTTCTTCTTTGGTTTATAGTTATCGGCATAATTGTTGTTTAAAGTCTAATAACTTTAAACAAAGTTATTCGTGATAAAATAGAACATAGCCTGTATATATATAATATATATTACCATGAAAATATTTAATATCTTCCTGCCTTTGGAGACGGCTATTTTATAAAGAGAATACTAAAATAACTTTCAAGTAGATAGGATGAAGAATGTACTAATAAATATAGTGAAAAAACTAAAATTTATAATAATCCACATAAAATATGAAATATTTCTAACAATGCTTTTACTTTTATTTTAATGGATAAATATGGAATGGTGCAGCCGACTGCGTTAACAATATACGCTGTCGCGGCATGAGTAAGATATTCTAGAACGGTGTTTTCCAATTAGTGGTACGCGTACCCCCGGGGGTACGTGAAGTTGCATCAAGGGGTACGTGCGGCTATCAGTAAAACAAACATACACACACTCACACACTTTCACATTTATCATATTAGTGTGATTGCTACAATAAGGGGTACTCAAGGTTGTTGGTGGGAACCACTGTTCTAGAATGAACATAAAGTCGGTTAGTTAGTCCATCAAGGCGAATTCACTAGGAATTAACCATGAT